GTGTAGTTTGATGTACCGTGATGTTAAGACAGGCTGCTGGTACGACAATATACTTCCTTCCTGAACCAACCCGAATGCACTTTCTACAAGTGGCTTTTCAGGTGACATGTTCGTAGTGGTAACTACTGGCTTGTCCTCAAGGGTGAATTCTGAATATGCCTCCACAACTCTGAACAAGCATGGATCTGGTAAAACACCCACCATCCCTCTGTAGACTCCACTTCTGTAAAGAGATGTTTAGCATGAGAATTGTTGTTGCTAATGTTACACTGCTTTGTTATTCCCCTAAATAGCATTTCTATATTTTTTATACTCTGGATTATTTTAAATGCTTATGAACACTTTAAAAGCATATTCGTCTTTGCAAAAAATGGCCAACATGTTGTTATAATTGTTGTTAACATCCTTGCACACATGAAATTAAATGTGATGATAGCTGAACTTACCTTACTCCACCTTGTGCTGTACGATTTGGAACAGGTTTTGTGATGACCAAGGCATTGATGGGTCCTGGTTTCACACCCTGACAGACAAATTCATCTCAGAAGAAATAACAAAGCTGAAACTATAAACATACAATACACTTTTAAAATCCAGATGTTTGTCATTATAGAGCTCTCATCATGCTCTCTTTCTCTCTCGGTCTCTCTGCGTGTGTGAGAGAAACAGAGGCAGCAAAGCCTGAGAGACAACGGAGTTATTTCCATATAAAGATGAACTGTAATAGCCCAGTCTTTGTAAAGATTCAAGTAAAGTTTGTACCATATTCTGTTTATTTTAATAATTCAATTTAGTTTTATTCAATAAATACAGTGCAATTAAAATACAGAATATTTATTCAAATTATGAAAGCTTCAAACTGCTTGAATGAGATCTATACTGTCTGTTTACCCCAAATGGTTTGACTCATTTCTTGCAACAGTCTTCACACTGTCTGAAATAACATAGTCTAAAATGATTGGATCATTTAGCCTGAATTAAAAAAAAACTTATTGTACTGAAATACACACTGTGAGAAATACACACACACATACATATACAGCCTTCCCTACATGGCGAACGTTACAAAATGGTACGTGAGAGACGTCCTCCGAACGTCCGGCAGAGAACGTTACAGAGCGGACCTAAATGGACTTCGTAAGGTCCGGGGGACGTCCCCTGTTTGCTGGGTAAACTAAAGTGATTCACTGCTTTAGTCAGTCTTGATGACTGCAGCGCCACACAGTACCATCTCAATCAAGAACCTGCTGTGTAACTGGATATTGCAGGTGTACTTCACTAAAATCACAACATTATCATACTTTTTAGTTTTTCTGATAGATGTACTTCCAGAATTCTAGAGGCTTTCATCAATGAACCATATTCTTTTGTACTACAAAAGTGACGTGTGGTCAAGAATGGTGTCCCATACTCAGAATTTGTGCTCTGTATTTTACCCATCCAAGTGCACACACACTGTAGCGAACACACACCCGTGGGCAGCCATATTGCTGTGGCGCCCAGGGAGCAGTTGGGGGTTCAGTGTCTTGCTCAAGGGTCTCACCTCAGTCGTGGTATTGAAGATGGAGAGAGCGCTGGTTCCTCCAACGCTCCTTCCATCTCCTTCCAACGACAATTCCTGCCGGACCTGAGACTTGAACCTGCAACCTTTGGGTTACAAGTCGAACTCTCTAACCATTAGGCCACGACTGCCCACGTGAGCATGTGCCAGGAGCAGATGGATGATCAATGGATTAAGAGCTCGACCCATTACTGTTTGATACTCTGGATTAATATACTGTTTTGGAAACAGGGTTTGTTAATGTTGACCTTTACATGCTAAATTTCTTATGCAAATAATAGGAAACAGACTGGTTTTTCAGTTTCCTCTGGTAGCCATTGAGAAGTTAGATCTGTGTCCAGCATCAGACCTCCAAAACCTGTACAGTGCCATCTGTTTTTAAAACAGCACTCAGGTGCAGCATCAACGCTAATTTCGGTACCTAAGACCACGCTTGTTCACTGACTGCTCACTAGAGAACAGTCGATAGACCTTCAAGCCAACAAGGCCATGTGATGACTTTCTCCTGAATGTGAGAAGTGATGAGGGATCTGGGTGTTGTCAGGCATTTACACAGATCTTAACAAGGTTGTTCTCAGTTGGTTTTCCCATATGGCCTCACTACATCACTGCATTTGTGTCGAGAACAGTGGTGTGGAGTGAGGAGAAACGATTAATCATTTGACAGCACTAATATATATATATATATATATATATATATACACACATACACACACACTTATTATATAAATATTTTTATTTTATTTTTTAAAACCGATCATTCTCCAGATTCACGTTGGCCACATCACGAGCGCTGACTGGTCTGTTGAAAGCCAAGAGCTCATCACGACATGCAATTGTCTAGGAATGTCTTTATGTGTTACTGATGACAGCACCTGGAAGGCTGCGTTTTTCCTCATTCCAGCCGACTGTGATGTTTGCCTACTGATAACCTGCTTGTGTAACTTGCCTCTTTTCCGTTGGTGATTTTTCAAGTCTGGTTGCCCTGGGGCCGTCTTCCAGAACCCAGACACACACACACACACACTTATACAAACTATTGGGAGTATTACAAGTTTTCTATTTCATCCTACCCTGAACTGCATCCAATATCATTTCATCAATCTGATAGTATTTCTCTCTCACTCACTCACTCACTCACCCCCACACACACACACACACACACACACACACACACACACAGTGAGCACACACACACACAGTGAGCAAACACACACACACAGGCGTGCAGTGATCAGGGTTTGTGCTGCTGGTGTGCGCTCACGTTCCACTGCAGGACGGCTGGCGGCAGGACGGCGCACGGCCCCAACAGGCGTGCAGTGATCAGGGTTTGTGCTGCTGGTGTGCGCTCACGTTCCACTGCAGGACGGCTGGCGGCAGGACGGCGCACGGCCCCAGCCCCGTGTTCCCGCTGATGTTGAAGCCCCGCGGGCTGTAGCTGTAGATGACGGCTCCTCCGGCCGCTTCCCTCTGCAGCAGCGTCACTGTGGTCCTCTGGTACAGCTCGTCGTCGGCCGGGCCGAGCCTGTGGCGGCGCACCAGAGACACGCTACAGCACAGAAACAACAACACATCTGCAGTTACACGCAGTGCTGTGCTGAACACTGAATCCCACAATGCACTGCGCTTGACCTTCTACGTATTTGATTCGATTAAAAAAAAGCATTTTTACACACAAAAATGATTTTATATACAGAAATACTTGTATATGTGAGATCACTGTACTGTGTCTGAATACTGTGTTTGCGGCTCGCAGTATACACTATAGAGTACACGAGGACTGCAGCGAGGACACAGCTGCGCGTTTACCGGCTCAGAGCCGGAAGAAGCCTCGCACCGAGCCGCAGTCCGGGACCGGATCCCGGTGACAGGAGCCTCGCGCAGCTGACGGCGGCCATGACGATGACGCACGGGACTCACGAGCGCGCGCATACGGACACGCGCACCGGTGACGTCACCCTCTGCTCAAATGATCATCTTAAACACTTAACAGCTTCATAACTGTCTATGTTATCGATTATATTCGCCATTTAGTGAATGTTTATTGATACTTGTTTTTATAGCACATGTCGATATTCACACAGAAATCTGCAGTGATGTTTTCTGGAACCTCCAGCATCAGTGCTCCGTGATCCGCGGCACAGCTCTGAGCTCGATTAGTTTCCCTGGAGGCGCGTGACTGCCTGTGCGCGCGCCCGCGGTCGTGTTTACTGGGCTGCGGTTCTCCGCCTCGCGCGTTCACACGGTCTGAGCGTGTTATGATCGCTTCTTCTGCTTACATCGCTCCTCTGAGTGCGCCATTAACGCGCGCCGGACGCGTCAGCGCGGTGGAAACGGCCGGTTAACGATGTATCGCTCTCTGTTCGCCTTCAGCTCGGCGGAGCGGAACGCGCTGCGCTTCCCCGCGGGAGACTCTTTCCTCGTGCTCGAGCGCAGCAGCGCGCACTGGTGGCTCGCGACGCGCTGCACCTCCGGCGAGACGGGATACATCCCCGCCGCATACCTCGAGAAGATACCGGTGAGACGTGTGTGTGTGTGTGAGAGTGTGTTCACTGTGTGTG